ATAATCCATACATACACAACATGTTATTTCAAAACTTCCTAGGGAAGGTACAATTTTTCTCAAGTTTCTGATAAAAGCTTATTATTAAAATACTGCAGTCTGGAAAAATTTGTTATTTTTTAATTTGTTTCTTACCTGAAAAAATCTTTTCATTTGGTATGTCACATAAAAACTATTACATACGTATATGTTATAGCGAACAAATCGTATTACTTTCATTTCACACTAGCTCAGAGAAGGAACCTATGTCAACTTTTGTATATCTTATTATTGATTTTGCCTGATGTCATAACATCTCTTTGTCTAGCATGGGCTTAAACTTTATTTGACAGCTATAATTTTGTCTAGCGTGGGCTTAAACTTTATTTCACAATTATAACTTTGTATAGCGTGGGCTTTAACTTTATTTGACAGCTATAATTTTGTCTAGCGTGGGCTTAAACTTTATTTGACAGCTATAACTTTGTCTAGCGTCAGCTTAAACTTTATTTGACAGCTATAATAACTCTGTCTAGCGTGGGCTTAAACTTTAATTTACAGCTATAACTTTGTCTAGCATGGGCTTAATCTTTTTTGACAGCTACAACTTTATCTAGCTAGCGTGTGTTTAATCTTTATTTGACAGCTATAACTTTGTCTAGAGTGGGCTTAAACTTTTGTACTTTTGTGTATTAATGATCATTAATTATAGTATATGTAAGTGTTTATATCATTGCTGCTGTCATTTGATACAGTTATCCCCACTTGTCTTAATTTATGATAGTAGCACGTGTTTTACCCAGTTGTTGTCATTGTCTTCTTTAATTGATATTTCATGCGTGTCAATTCGAGGTCACTACTTCTCAACAGCGTCCGTCGTAAAATATTTGGCAGTTTTGATTTGTACAGAGAAGCGTATACATGTTTATTTTGTAGCAAATTTCCCACCGCCACCCCTTTACACCTCTGAGATTATAGTGATGTGTGCCTTGGCAACATGTTATGTAATATAGGTGCATGTAATAACGGATTTCACCCATTCTTTACTTGTCACAAATTATTATCTAAATTCTCAGGCAGTCCTGAATAAAACGGCTATCTAGGCAGTCCTTTTCTCGGGCGAATGAATCATTTGTTTATCCATTTGAAAGTTCTTTTTTGATACATGTTTAGTGTGCAAATGGTTTCTTCACTCGATGTTAGCTAGCTGTCTCAGGTTGCAAAGTGAGTACACTGTAAGCATTGGCTGGGGGCCAGTGCTCGACATGCCGATATATAAATAAATTGAAGAGTAGGTATACTTGAGTTACCTATTGTTTGACATGGGCTGGGCCAGTGCTCAACACATCACGCATAGAGAGACATTTTAAAGTAAAACATTGTTCTTCGAATTATGCTTTGAGCTCTGGGCAATGCTCTCTTTCAAAAGGCTCGCTTTGCCATTAAATTCGCATTGTTTGAGGTTTCATTTCGTACTCAAAGGGTTCTGTTTCTGTTTGATGTATACTCAAGTGGTTCGTAACTTTGTCCTCAACTGTTTTTCAAAGAATAGGGTTAAAGTTATTTGAAGTCACAGTACTACAGTGCCAGTGCCGCGATAGATGCTTGAATATTGTGAATTTAATGTCTTATTTTTAGATATGTATTTTAATAAGTGGATTATTAAATACATAGCAACTATAACCATGTTGCCCGTAACGCCAAATTTTTATTCACTTATATTGTGTTTATTCTATTTTATTGTATGAGATACTACAGAGTCTGGATCTTTTTTGATGTTTTTTTGCCAAAATGTTGAGCTTGCGTCGCTTCTACAGGGAAAACGAAGTCGGTGACCATATTTTTTTTTTACATCATCCAATTGTTTAGACAAAGAGGAAGAAAATATTAATTTTAAAAAAAAATCTATGGAGTAATTCACGTGATTTATACAGGAAACCGAAAATTGTAGAAGAAAAATAAGGATTTTCCCTATATATTCAATGTAATTTAGTACCCTCTCGGACCATTTTAAAAATAGCTTTTTCTCGAAAACGAAGTCGGTGACATATACTTTTTTTTACATTTTCTGATGTATATTTTCAATATCTAATTGAGTTCTAAATTTAAAAAAATTCTATGGACTGGTCATTTACTGATCCTTGACCTTAATCACTCTTTAAATGAAGACGTCAATTAGTTTATCTAAACGGATAACTTCATCGGTCGTTCTGTATACTTTTTTTGAACTGGAACTTGCAGTTAAATCTGTTGCCAGCCGAAGAGAGGTCATCGCTCGTTCAATGCGTTGTGTATATAAACACGGCACATAAATGGACAGCTATAAATTTGTCTTGCGTGGACTTTATTTGACAGCTAGAAGTCTCTGATGTTGTTGTGGTTATTGAGATGCTGAAGTAAAGCAATCATTTACTGAAAGTTACAGTTGATTTATTAAAGTTTAACGTCTTTCAGTAAAAAATTGTCACTGAGATACCATTTATTAGATAAGAAATCTGTATCACAATCTAGAAACCATCCAGCGATTTCGTGCTTTCTAACACAATTAAGTCAGATCTGGTGGCCACAGACCACAATTAATTCCTCTATTAGTTCTTTATAACGTTTTGTCTCATTAAAAAAATTGCACCTTGCATTTTTGTCAAATCTTTTGTGTGTGTAATGTATAGTACTAGTCCAAAAATATATCCAAAATTCAGAAAGATTGAACCAATGACTCTTACAAATTTAGCCACTACACAGCCATACCCCTATCGACAAGTCAAGAGATGTTCCGAAAACTGTAAATATTACCTTTTTGCACTTGGCCTAATCACTCTTTCCATATCAAAATCAGTTTAAATACAACATCCAAAAATTTATTTTACCTCTCTTCTTTCACTTCCACCCCATAAAAACTAAGAAATCAATGAGAAAGGCAAAGAAAAAAAATTAAGAAAAAATACACTTTAATTAAAGGGAACTATATTCGTGAACAACGAAAAGTGGGGTCATTAATTGTGGTCTTGGGCCTGGTCAGGTTATATTTATAACGTAGCAATTCGCCGTTTCAGAATCTTTTGCATTCTGGGTAATAAAATCAAGAATGTACATTGGTTAAAAACGTCCAAAACAATGGAATTTTAACCAATGACGTAACTTTATTATCATTTTGGGATACGAACAATGAGATTATCCATAGTCCTTTAGATTTTGAAACGGTTTATTATCTTAGACTGAGAAACATAAATAACTTTCACACATAAAATATTTGATATATATTTAAGCTCCGGGACCTACAAGCAGACCACCATATCCAGGTAAGTCACCTACATTATACTTAAGGAATGACTGTAATATTTTTTCTGTCTATGAAGAAATAACATAAAAAATGTGGTGCACACTGAATAACCCGCGTAGCGGGTTATTTTAAAGTGTGCACCACATTTTTTATGTTATTTCGAATAGACAGAAAAAATATTACAGTCATTTCTTATAATTTAATTCTAAATTCCATTTTAAACCTGAGTAAACCATGAAAAAACGTTGATGACGTCACGGTCACATGACAAAATTATGTCTATGAGCTGATAAACAAAACAACGTCAGCAAATCAGAAGACGCGTTACATCCAAAATTAAATTATTTAAGGAATGACTGTAATATTTTTTCTGTCTATGAAGAAATAACATCAAAAATGTGGTGCACACTGAATAACGCGCGTAGCGGGTTATTTTAAAGTGTGCACCACATTTTTTATGTTATTTCGAATAGACAGAACAAATATTACAGTTATTTCTTATAATTTAATTCTAAATTCCATTTTAAACCGGAGTAAACCATGAAAAAACGTTGATGACGTCACGGTCACATGACAAAATTATGTCTATGAGCTGATAAACAAAACAACGTCAGCCAATCAGAAGACGCGCTACATCCAAAATTAAATTATTACGTTATAGCAAGATATATCAGGGTAAGCAGTAACAAGCACCACAGAAAGGCACATACAAATAAAAACCATGACCAGTGCATAGTAAAATGACACCGAATCCCTGTAAACAGTATTTCTATTGTATAAATGTAATTTGTGCATTTTTGAAGAAATAAAAGAGTGTCTAAACTAAAATGTTAGTGTACGTAGTGTGTCTACACTGATATATCGTGTGTTATGTACTACAAAATATTAATCTGCAAAAACATACTGGTCGGTAATTTTCAGTTTAAGAACCTGACTTCAAAGTTCATTGTTCTAACTTATTAATTTCCAATTATCCGACAGTAAACATCCTGACAGGCAGACCTACAGAAAGCAGGATTGTCCGACAATAGACATCCTGACGGGTGGACCTACAGAAAGCAGGATTATCCGACAGTAGACATCCTGACAGGCAGAACTACAGAAAGCAGGATTATCCGACAGTAGACATCCTGACGGACGGACCTACAGAAAGCAGGATTATCCGACAGTAAACATCCTGACGGGCAGACCTACATAAAGCAGGATTATCCGACAGTAGAGATCCTGACGGTCAGACCTACAGAAAGCAGGATTATCCGACAGTAGACATCCTGACGGGCAGATCTACAGAAAGCAGGATCTGGGACATTCTGACGGGCAGACCTATATAAAGCATTATTATCCGACAGTAGACATCCTGACGAACAGACCTACAGAAAGCAGGATTATCCGAAAGTAAACATCCTGACAGGCAGGCCTACAGAAAGCAGGATTATCCGACAGTAGACATCCTGACGGGCAGACCTACAGAAAGCAGGATCTGGATTCAGATCAGATTACAACTTCTCCAGTACAGTTTTAAAAAACAGCAATAAGTTAACAGGATAATTAAATTTTGCAATGTCAATACCTTTTATATAAGAAAAATCGACAAACAAACACTAATTACATGTCAACAAAAAAAAAAACATACCAATTTGAAAGTTAATAGGATATTCCCCTAGCTATTTAACACTTATTTTGGTCTTCATCATTTGTACATTTTTAATATCAAACATATTTTCTTTGCTTTAAGGATGCCAAGCGGATGTTTTCTTTGTTGTTGATACATCCAGTAGTTTGAACACCGCTTCTAATATTATAAAAGAATTAGATTTTGTGGGTGATGTAATTAATGCGCTTGATCTGGGTAAAGACCAGGTGCGGACCGGAATGATGACATTTAACACCAAGGCCGAAATATTATTCCAACTAGATGACTTTAAAGCAAAGAAAGAAATTGCCAAAATTTTATTTGATAAAAAGAATTTTATGAGGTATAAATGGAAAGGTGGCAATACTAATCTTGGTAAAGCTTTAAGACTTTTAATGGACAAAGGACTATCTACGTCACATGGTAGCCGTACTGACGTTCCACAAATAGCCGTGATTATAACCGACGGAGAACCAAACGATAGATTTCACTTAGAGTTTGCCAAGGCTCTCACAGAAATAAGAAAAACGGATATTATTGTATATGCTATAGGTATTTTATTATGTTGGATGAGTAAAGATTGTGGTTAAGGGATGTAGTCAGGTGAAATTAAAAAAAAATGGAATTTAAAGTTGATACTATAAATCAGAAAAGCCTTAGTAAAGGAACTAAATAAGCTAAAAAATATTGATATGTTATGGAACTCCTTTTCGAGATATTTGATTAAAAAAAAATAAAGGGAAAAGGCTGACTCGGACTATTACCTTATATTTAGCATTGGCATTATTTTGGTCTCAAATTTAAAGAAATCTAAAGTCAACCTAAAATTTGGTAATGACCTTTTATGAGCTATTGAAGTCTTCTATGAAAAGAAAAGTGGGTGATATGGGGCAAATATATTTTATCTTCGTAATTCCTAGTAGAGAAATGGGGATCTGGATGGGGTTTACAAATAGGAAACAATGGACCAATACAACAGACAAAGAGGCAACAAAATAAAGAAAAGATAAAAATGGGTTGTTAAAAAAAAAAAAAATAGACGAAAAGTATAAAAAATAGAGAAAAATTTCTTTGAAAAAAATTAAGAATACAGAATTAAGGGACACATCTTCCATCAAGACCCTCAGAAATAAAACATCTACCATTCAATTTGCTTGATAATAACTAATTATTTTTAGCAGACAAGTAAATACATGAAACATTTTCCTGTAATGGTGCTTAAGTTATAACCTTTTTTACTGCGTTTTGACAGTTTAAAATTATTTTTATATCAAAATATATCAGATGGGATCTTTGTTTACAATCCTTCGCACGTTAGTGTGGTTTTTTCACAATATGGCACACCAGTAAATTGTATTTCCTCAATTTGAAAGTGCTATCTTACATTCATTTTTTACTGGAAATTATCCCTGGAAAATATGCGTTTGCTTTTTAACTAAATGCAAAACAATTGTTAAGCTACGCATGATTCACTGCAGTTTTATTGCTATTTAGACTGACTTTAACAACACTGTACCAAATTATACATGCTAACATTTTAATTTAAAAAAAGGAAGAAACCAGTCTGCATAACTTCGCCAATCTGTTTTATCTCTATATATATATATTGGATGTACATGTGTAGTATTGGTTGAAGTCGTTAGAATTATCATTTTTGTATGAACAACACAAAAGGTACAATTTCCAACTAAAGTGTCAAATGATCAGATACTGATTGGTTTTATAATTTACTCTTTCTCTGAACATGCATGAAATTTTTCCCATATGACATTAAGAAAACGAACAATGAATTATAGCAGAGACATATATACATGTGTATATATGTCTCTGATTATAGTTAGTGTAAAGTATAGATTTTGAATATTTACAGTAGCAATTAATGTAGCGAAAATGTATATAAGAAAAGATATATGAAGAAGGAGAAAAAAATAAACTTTTACATCTTTTACGATAGAATTGAGAAATGAAACGGGGAATGTGTCAAAGAGACAACAACCCGACCAAAGAGCAAATAACAAACCAAGGCCACCAACGTAGTGAGAAAATACCCGCACCTCAGGCGGGATTCAGCTTGCTCCTAAACAATAATGTATACTAGTTCACCGAAATGGACGCCACACTGAACTCCGAAACATATTAACGAATAAACAAACCCCCCCAAAAACACACAAGACTATGTAACAAAGGCTAGAGGTTCCTGACTTGGGACAGGCGCCAACATGCGGCGGGGTTAAACATGTCAGTTTGTGAGATCTCAACCCTCCCACTATACCTCTTGCCAATATGGAATAAACAAACACACAGCAATACGCACAGTAAAACTCAGTTTAAAAAAGTCTGATGCATGCTTTTAACCCACTGTCTCGTACGAATGAGATAGTTAGCTTTTGTTTAAAAAAAAATTCCATCATACATATAGTTAACTTTTTTCAGTCATTATGATTTATTCTTTATTTCTTAAAGGTGTTGGTCCAAGTCGTAGACCTGAGAACTTGATAAAAATTACAGGCGATCCAAATCGGGTATTTGAGTTGAAAGATTATGACAGTCTTAGAGCAATTATAAACAAATTAGTGGTTAAATTGTGCGATGATGAACAAAGTAAGCACCATTTGTTAATCAAAATACATTTTTAAATGTTCAATAGAGCTTCAAATTTTATAAGGATGTTGCAATCGCTTAACGTTCATTTTCTATCCATATTAGAACGACTACATGCATTATGAGGGTCTGGATAGGGGTCCTTAATTTCAGTATTCTTTAAAGTTCTAGGGCATTTTATTTTTCTTTAAAAATAGTACTTTATTATTATGTAAAAGTCTCATGGAAAAGATTCTATACTTTCAATTTTTTCTATAATTAGATGATTTCTGTATTCTGTACATCGGTCATTTCTGTAATAAGTATTGTATTATGTTTTATATTTTTTCTTTTGCACAGTTACTCTTTATACTTCATTATTCTCTATTATTTTTACATTTTGCTCATTTTTCTTTATTCATTATTCGTTTCCCTATTATTCTCTATTCTGTAAACTCCAACCAGACCTCTTATTATGTAGCATGCAAGCGAAAAATTATCACAACTTAACTCTGAGATCACAGGCTTTAACGAGTTCTTGTAGTGTTTTTATTATTATTTATCTCATTGAATGTAAAATACTAATGAGGAGTATTATTGAATATACTTGTATACAAATTAAATATTCTTTCATAAACCGTCGCCTTTCATCTTTAGCGAAAAGAACAGTACGCTATATCGCGATTTTTTTGCAACCATGTAGAGAACACAGCATTGTTTTAATACAGTAGATAGAGCTACAACATTGTTTTTTATTTATTTGATTTTTTTCTAAACCATTAGTTAGTATTTGAATGTTATCCAAGTCCATCAAATCTTTTATATATAATGTTGTGTTACCGGTAAATTGGTAAGTTAGAACTTCTTTTCTTGATTTATATGATTTACATTTAGATGCATTTGTGTTAATTTATAAGTTTATTACTTTTTGTATTATATAAAATTTGTTATTTCAGACGATGACGAAAAAGAGAATCCATGTAATCCAGAAAAACGTGAGATTTCATGATATTCAGGTGTCTTCATACACAAACACACACTCACACACCATGTATTATACTGTTTCTAGTGCGTACAATGGGTGTCTAGTTTCTAGAAGGACCTTTATTGTGTATGCTAGGAACGGTTTGGATATTAATAATAAATTCCTCTTTTATAAAGTAAAACAATATCTCCGAGGAAGTCTTTGTAGGATTTCGTTACATTTACCGCACCCAGGTGTGTTCATCATCAGCCTCAATTTAAGTTCTTCGTTAAATGATATCATGATACTACCTGGGATTATTATACTAACTATAATAGTACTAGATACTGCTGAGATGCTGAGATATTTTTATTACCACAGTTATAACATAAATTTTCATTGACATCGCGACCCTGATAACGAATACGTCGTTTTTTTCACGAATCTCTTTATATTAGATGTAAGCTTCTCATATCTGAGGGGCGTTAGCCCCAAAGATATGACACGATTATATCTGATTTACATTGAAGTAAAACAGAAATATCTTATCTTTTCTCTTGTTCTAAAAAAATGCAATAAGTTTTAATAAAACAGGAAAAGTGTCATTACCTCAAATATTCCAGATGCGGTAACACTTTCAAAAGATGTTTTTGTTATGGGTTGGAATAAAATCTTAATTGCATTTATTTTTATGTCATCAAATTGATACCTTATCACTGCTTTTGTATGGCAATATGAATCGCTGTACTATCTTGTCTTTTTCTGGTTTAATTGCCAAATCATGAACTTTTTGCTGGTAAATGATAACACTTCTATGTAAATATAATTACATTGCATGCATGTTTCACGAGAATCCGTTAGTTTGATTGGCTAACAACAGTCGCGCGTCATTCAAAAATTAACCTTCATATCAAAATGAAATGTTACATTCGTGATGACATGTGCTTCCACAAAAAAGTGCACAGGTAAATAAAAGAAAAACTTGATAAAACTTTTTTTCATGGTCTTGTTAGCATAAAAATGTAACTATAAGAAATGAATGCTTCTTTTTGTAATTTATTGAGGTGTAAAAGTGTTGAACTTTCGCGCTTCATACAAAATGTGCTTTGGTCAACAATTTTACACCCCAATAAAATTACAAAAAGAAACATTCATTTCTTAAATGATATACATGTCTTATAGCATGTGATGGAGCAATGGCAGACGTCATTTTTGTAGCAGACAGCTCAAGAAGCCTAGGAGATATATCGTTTAATAAATTGAAACAGTTTGCGAAAGCTGTAGTGAAGAGATTTACTGTCAGTCCTATTGACATACAAGTTGGTTTCATAAATTTTGGAAATGATCCCAACTTTGAATTTAAGCTCAACAGTTACAGAGATCAAGATGAAGTTATGAAGGCTATCTCAAAGGTCCAATATTTAGACACCGCAGAGAGAATGCAGCTTACATATACAGGCAAAGCATTAAACCTGCTGATACAAAAAGGATTCTTACATGAAAATGGCGGGCGTGGTGGAAGAGTTCCAAAAATTGCAATTATCATTACGGACGGTGCACCAACAGACATTGATGTTACACACAGACTTGCAAAAAAAGCAAAACAACAAGGAATGATTATATTTGCCATTGGTATGTAGTTAGGTAGTGTTATTCCATTGTAAACTTAATCTCTTTGTATACCTATAAAATATGAGGGGGGGGGGGGGAAATATTATTATACTGAATTTCGTGGCCACGACACGTGGTGTTTTTGGACCCCAAAAAATGGTTTGTGACTATAGCAACAAAAAGATATAAATAGAAATGATACCTCGTATTCAGTAATCTACTTCTTGAAAGTTATAGACAGTTTAGTTTACAAAGCCGAAAGAAGATAAATTCCAAATGTGTGCACCCTAAAATGATAAACGCTGGTTTCACAAATTTTAACATTAAACTGTACATAATCATTTTCTTGAACAGTGACAAAACATCTATATCCTACAATGTCATACGACACGGTTAGTTTTCTTTAGATTAAAAAGGACAGATATCAAAGATTTGGTATTGCGCATGCGTTCTTACATGGATTCAGTTTATTATCCCCATTTCAACTACTAAACATATGAATACTAGATATAAAAAAGTATTGAGAGTATAATTATAGCTTATTTTTGTGTAGGGTTTAAAACATATAATACATATACACCTTTGCTTATAATGTTCATGATAGTATTGTCCATTGTCTGTTATGAGTATAATATAAATGTGAACGTGTGTGAATTGTAGGTGTTGGTGATTGGATGAAACAAGATGAGATAGACTTATTGGCATCTGACCCAAAGACAACACATGCGTTCCTGGTAGAAAACTATGACGCTTTGTCATTTATTGAAGCCGCATTAGCAAAGAAAACTTGCATAGGTACTATTAAACACATAAGACGATTTTGTCAATATAACGGATTCCGAACTATAAACAACTGTCATACAAGTTGGAGGTTTAGCTAGCTATAAACCAGGTTTAACCCACCATTTTTTGTCGGAAAATGCCCGTAACAAGTCATAAATGTGGCAGTTGTTTTTCACTAATTCCGTTGATTGATAGCGTTTGATTTTGTCAGTTTTTTGTACTTCCCCTTTTTGGATTTGCCTTGGAGTTCGCCTTTTGTGTTATACTATTTTGTTAATATGTAAACTGGTGATGAAGGGGGAAAACTTGCAAGAAAAACGTGTAGAATATCTACACAGTGACAGAGCATATCAAAATATTAAGACGATATTTTTTATTTGATACAGATATCATTATATATCTTAACCTAGAAACAGTGTTCCGTGTTTTGAGTATAAAAAATGTAAAGTTTATCTACAAACCAATAATTAATAATACCTTTGGTAAACAGCTTCAGTATTTGGCATGCATACATGTACCTCACTACCGGAACGACAATTTCGGCTTTCGTGATAATAGAACCCATTTCTATTTCAAAATTGTTGATAATTTGCATATGACTTATAATAAAGGAAACAGGTATATTTATATCTCTTAAACACCAGAATTCCGGTAAACTGTAAGAAGTACATGTATAAGATATTTACTTATAATAACATTACATATATAAAAAAAGAAGATGTGGTATGATTGCCAATGAGACAACTCTCCTAAAAAGACCAAATGACACAGAAATTAACAACTATAGGTCACTGTACGGCCTTCAACAATGAGCAAAGCACATACCGCACAGTCACGTATGTTTCATAATAATGAGGCACTGACTCCCACATCAAATTTTATTTCCGTATAAAATACAACAGCTATGACTAGACCATGTTAAAACAATACATAGACAAACAAACGAACCGCTTGATATATCTCTAAATTACATAGTTGTAATTATAAGAATTGAATGCTTATACTTATAATTTTATAAGGTTGTAAAAGCGTTGATCGTGCACATGTTTTAATATGAAGCGCTTCATACAAAACGTGCTTCGGTCAACGCTTTTACACCCCAATAAAATTTAAAAAAGAAGCATTCAATTCTTAAAAAATATTTTGTTTTGTTTTAGCTGCTCATCAAATGATATCGATGGCACCAGAATTTTTTAACTAGGAATTGCAAGCATTAACTATAGGTATGATATATTTTGAAATCCATATGTAACATGTAACATGCATAAAAAAATTACACTTTGTAAAACTCGAAAATCTTCTCTGGATAAACCTAGAACAGGAACGCGTAAATTCTAAAAATTGGAAACATATGGTGTATAAACCATTAAAACGCGAGGAGCTTTATGACCAAACGGTACCTAAAATGAATAGCCAAATTAATCTAATGTCAAGTTTGCCTGAGAGGGTTTGAACCTCAGTTATATAATGATTTCTAAATTTATTAACGGAGCATTTTATAAAAAGTAAGTTACAAATCATGTCAGTACCGATGCACTGAATACTGAGCTGATACTCTTAGGTACTAACAGTCCACCAGCAGTCGTACATAGCAATTGTGCTGAATTTATACTTGAATACTATGAATTCTACAAAGGAGAAAATGACATGATTTTTCTTCATTTATCTGAGAAAAAAACACTTTATTACCATTCAATGTACCATTCAGAATTGTTCTGCATGCTACGTTAATATTTGTTTTTTTTTGCGATTACAATCTCCCACTTTACAAATAAATCATTGATCTGCCCCTTGAACAGTCCGGTGTATCTCTGAGTGTTAAAATTACTGTAACATCGTAGAAATTTATAAAGTTGAATACCTTAGAAATCTTCAAAAATGGTTGAATTTATGAATTTTGATAACCGTCATAATAATTATATAAATACACATAACTATGAAATGGAACACGAATTAAAAAAAAACGAAACGAAACAGACAGCACAAATAATATGACAGATCTATACCTATAATGACTGATTTATTGGCAAAATTACTGAGATTCTAAACAACCCATTCCCTCAACATTCCTACAAGTTCGTAACGATGATCAATACTTAATGTTATATTTCACTGACGTCAAATTGATATTCGTAAGTAAAATATATTTTTCAATTGAAAGGAACACGTATATAATTAGTTATTTCAAAAATATCGTTTAAATGTTGTAACCAGGAACATATATATTAGATATACTGTTCCCAGTTGTAACAAACTGTTTTTAATCAAGTTAATTTCAAAATTTTATCAAATGAAATAACGTCGTTTAAGCAACGTTTGTAATATATGTTAGAATTTTTTTTCACTGATCTATCTTTATTTTAACAATAAACATTTTTGCTGCTCTTGTAGTAAGTAATCTTAGTTGACAATAGTAATCAAAGGTACCAGGATTATAATTTAATACGCCAGGCGCGCGTTTCTACATAAGACTCATCAGTGACGCTCAGATCAAAATAGTTATAAAGCCAAACAAGTACAAAGTTGAAGAGCATTGAGGACCCAAAATTCCAAAAAGTTGTGTCAAATACGGCTAAGGTAATCTATTACTGGGATAAGAAAATTGTTTCGGTTCTTATACATCATTGGCTTTGAAATATTCGGTTTTGAGCGTTCCTGATGTAGGTAAATCAAGAAAAGCGCTTCGGGCGCATGACATTTATATCGTGAAGTTTCATTTTTTTTTTATAATAAACTCATTTAACAAATAAATGTAAAATGGTGTTATGTATTTAACAACACACGCACACACACACACACACACACATGTGCGCATTATATCATTACATGCATATCATTGGATGATACCTATGCAACATTTACAACATTTTGTAGAGATTTACAATACTAATATTTGGTTACTAGCTTTTAAAAGTAAAATGACTAAATTTTATGCTTTTTTCAGATCTGGTGACAACTGAACTGTTCAATGGACTAAAAAACTTTATACATATATAATCCTCTTTTGTAATGATAATCATTAAAGATGATGAAAGCATTTTCCTACAGTCTTTTTTTTTAATTTTATTTTTGAAGTAAAAATTAACATATTACAGTAATTTTAATCATCATAATTGTTATACTTTTACGGTATTATTTTGATACAGAAAATTTAATTCAGCAGTTTAATACATTTTTTTTAAAAGAAAACCCTTTGAAAAAAAACTTAATATTTTTAGTGTGTTTTAATTTTAACCATAATCGATGTTAATTATACTCTACACCACGTAGTTGTGGAGAGGATGATTTGCTGTGATTTTTACACATCTTAAAATTAATTTGAAAAAAACAGAGACTGTCTGTGGTATTCTTGAGATAGTAAATATTTAGTACAAAATGGTTAAAAAGTTACTGGTAAGAGCTGTAGGATTTTCATACAAGTACAAGGAATTAATCAACATTATGGACAGCTACAAAAACATCTGACCATTATGTGTCAAATAAATATCGAATACCCAATATTTATGATAGACAGTCCCCTTACCCTACCTTACCTCTGTATCTTGACATCCTTCAAAGGATAACCATGATAGTAAAATGTCTAACAATCCTCCACCAGGTGAATATTCACAGTGATTGTTTTATATACAAAAATGTACAGATGTGCTATCTAAAACCTTGCACTGTTTTATTAAAAAGGACTTGCTTATGTACACCCTAAATTTCATAAAATCCAACTCTGTTATTTAAAAGATAAAAAAGTTCTACACTCCTTATGAATTGATAAACACAAATGTTCATATGTCAGTGGTTAACAACTAATAATTAACGTCACAAAACGGATATCATTTATAACGGAGTGAATTACCCATAATGGTCATTAATATATAATCTGGGGATGCTAGATAAAACCTAAAAATATAATGTTTGCCAGAATGCATTTACTCTGACTTTATCAATTATAGAAATGTTAAACTTAAAAATAATTTAAAAAGTAAAAGAGGCTATGTTGATCTTATGGGTGGGGTCTAATATTGCAATTATAATTTCCATTTGGTAGCCGTCTGGCTTCATATTCAATAGTCTTAACTTTATCCTCGGGCAACTTCATCTCTTTTTTTATTTTAGTTATGTCCATAATAAGTTGCATTTGTACTTCTGGGGATAGATTTTTTTTTATTATTTTCAAGAATTACAACAAATACAACACATCAAACATACATGCAGTAGTATTAACAATACATTTTGAATATCTATTTATCTATAAAAACTAGAAATTGTACGCTTAAAACATCTAGAATTACTAAAACAACTATTGGCCACTCATACATATTAGCACTGAAACAGCAGCTACCCGTACACTGTATTCTGGATTGTTCAATGTTAACAAAGTTGGGAAAATAGACAAAGAAAGTGACATTATTAATGACATAGAAGAGATCAGTAGAAATCTCCTGTTTGAATTGCACAATCTTAGGGCAGTAAACTTGAATAAACTATTATAATGTATAAACTGTAAATATTATACCGGACTGAACTTTAGAATTGTATTTAATGATTAAAGAAATCCTTCTTTTTTTCCGTTCACACCCACAAAATAACGATAGTGACAAATGTATATACCTGTCTTATACTAAGGTGTTCCGAAGTCAACCGAGGACATTACCAGCAACAATAACAATAGCGCCCTCGTGTGGAATGTTGTGGAACCTATTTCATTCTTGATTTGTAACTTTTTCTTGAGAAACTGAACTTCTCATTGGCTGGCAGCGGTAACAACAACACTGTCACATTCTTCCAAAACATGACTCAAACAAAGAATTTACATTTCACAAATTCAGAAAGAAGGTCTGGTAAGGGCTAGTTTTGGCCTAAAATTCGAAGTACATCTGATGAAAGAGTTTTTACATTTTTTAAACACTTAAATGTCTACTTCAGTCGATTCAATTAGTTGATGTAAAAGGTTTGAACTGATTTGGTTATGAAAGACGCTCAAATTCAAGCTTGAGTATGAAAAGTCTATCAAATATGCCATAAAACGTCACTTTTCAGATGTTTTATGTCCAAAATGGAAGTGGCCGCATTCGTGTTCAGTCTCAAATTTATATATGTTATGTATTGTTATCAAATACAACATATATTTAAATATTAAGACTGAACACAAATGGGGCCACTTCCATTTTAGACAAAAACCGTCTTAAAATTAGCACAAATGCTAAAATTGTGAAGATTTCAGAAATATTGCATGAATTTATGATGCTAGTACCTGATGCATGTTCATTGTATTGTCAAAAACAGCCCATATTTATGGAACATAAGTATTCTACTTTCCAATAAATAGCTAAAAGTTTTAAAACATTTCAACAGATTTGTAAAAATGCTATATTTTGGGGCAAAAAAGGGGTCTTACAGGACCTACTCCCTTAGAATTTCATGTAACGAACGAAGAAAATACCTTACAAATGAAGAAATTGCATTTACTTATTAAGAAATTACATTTCACAAATCAAGAAATGTAGAAATTCATGGAAATTCAAAAAAACGGATGGAAAAAATGCATGTTACGTGACAAATTAAGAAATTACATTTTACAAATTAAGAAATTACATTTTTACAAATTAAGACATTTATAATTATGGCGGATATTCCCTTCCATAGCGATACAGGCCTAATTTATATGATTCGTGTCAATCCCTGTAACAAATTAAGTTTTCAAATAAAGCACTTCCGCCCGCTATGAGCTAATAAATATTCTTTTTGTTATAAATATAGTTAATAGAAATTTTTTAAAATTCATTTGTATATTTATATGAAAAGAGAAAATAATTACAGAAAGAAAAGATAATTTAAGTTAATGTGTATGTACCACATGAGTAGGGAAGAGTATTTTATGAAGGAGAGGTTCAAATATCCTGTAAGATTTCAGTACATAATAAATTGTGCTATTAGATAAACTCATATATTATGTTAGTTTTGACAATAAGTATTTGCAAAAAATAAATGACAAATTGAATTATAAAAAATAATTCTTTAAATGCATTCCACATGGTATCAAAGTGCCCTTTTCTTTTATTTTTGACTGCCATTATTTTTTCTAAATTGTTCATATAATTTAGCTTTTCTTTAATGGCACTGAGTGAAAGATCCTTTAAAAAACATCTACTGTTGTATATATATTGTTTCATGTATAGAAAAATCAAATTATATGGGTCACCTTTTCGAACTTTTGATATATCTCCAAAAATAAAATTTAACTTATTCAATGGCAGGCTTTTAATTACCCCACCAGATAAAAACCAATAATCAATATCTTGTAAAATTTTTTGGATAATATCACAATTCCACAGAATATGTTAAACAGTTTCATCTTCTAATTTACAAAAAGTACATACAGGGTTATCAATAAGTTTGATTTTACGTAAAAATGTATTTGTGGCAATAATTCTGTGGTTGATTCTGTACTGAAGCCACTGTAGTTTAGTATTGACAGTAACTGTAAAGGGTAGTTTGAATATATGTTTCCAAATGAGATCTTCGCCTAATATTTCACCCCACAGTTGTCCTGTTGGAGTTCCATTGTTATTAATAAGTATTTTATACATATCTTTAGAACCTTTTCTATTTTTAAAACAGATTTGTAAGCAAGCCTGTATGAATGGACAACATAACTTATATGAATCTTTTTTGTAATTATTTGCTGCCTTTTTAATAGCAGAAATAACACTCATGTAATTCAAAAAATTTCCGTTGATATCGTAACATTAATTGCTGTAACATTTTCATCTATTACATCATTTACATATTGTAAACCAAAGAGGTTTATTCCCAATTTTGATCATATTGTTAAACCAAATAGGACTTGATAAAAAATATTCATAATCCATATTCCTCTCTTTAACAGTTATCATTACCCATGCTCTGAATACATATTTCCAAAAACTGTTTTTAATATTTAAACAAACTTGTTTGATATACTGAACACCACAGTTAAAAAGTTTATTTTCATCAATATCAGACATCAGAATACTTTGCCACTTATCATCTCTCTGAAAAATCCTTCTTATCCATGATGATTTTAGTGCCATAGTAAAACTATAAAGATCTATCATTTTTACTCCACCCTCCAAATATTCTTTAATCAATACGTCCTCCTTCACTCTATGTATAGGAGAGTTCCATACAAATCTAAAAAAAAGTTCATTAATTGTTTTGAATACACTGTCTGAAGGATTAGGCAAAGAAATAATAAGGTGGTTTAAAATAGGTAAAACAAGAGTTTTTATCACAGTTATTCTACCTATTACTGTAAGGTTTATTTTCAACGGTGTCTTCTGGCTATTCCTACATTTTGTATTTTACTATTCTGGCTATTCCTACATGGGAAATTATGGGTAGAACAATAGATGTTGTTATTGCAAAATATGTTGTTTTAGCCATTAGTGTCTAATTAATTCACAGGTAAATTTACCTATGGAAATTAAATAGAAATATTATACAACATATTATTAAAACAACCAAAGCCTATAGAATCACTACGCAACCGAAGTTATAGAACAACAAATCATTTAGAAGGTTGGCATAGTAAACTGAAGAAGTTAGTCAAGGTACCTCACCCAAACATCTTCAGCATGATCAAGTTGTTGAGAAAGAAGAAGCCTTCCATGCTCTCAGACTTATCCAATACAGAGCCGGTGGGAAACATGTTCCAAGAAAGAGAACAAATACAGGGAATGACAGACTTCAAACACTGAAAACAAGGTTACAGAGTGATGAACTTACGCCAGTCCAGTATGGAGATGCTACTTCTCATCTCCAACACGTTAATTAAGACTTAGTTTTCTCCTGTGTGTTCAATTTAGTGCAATTTAGAGGATAATGTTGACGAACCAAGGTTAATTTCTAAATCCACATCAAAATTTATACCAAGTAATTTAAAAGTTGTCTCTCCCCATGAAAGATTTACATCAGGACATAAAAATTTCCTTTCTATATTTTTTACTTCCAATCCAAATTTACTTGTGTTTTTGCAAAATTTATATTTAAACAGATATGTTTGCAAACCA